TTAGAATGTTTCGTCTCGAAACCACTAAAACTTTCAAGATAATCTACATCAAACCTGTGTCTTCACTTGTTCACATGGTTTAATATAGGGTCAGAAAATAGAATGCAAAACTCTAAATGTTTATATGAGAATAGCTTAATTTTCTCGTTTGTGTTTTTCATTCCGAATAATTTGAAACAGAACGAGATTACTTGTAGGATATATTGCATAAAAGGAAGCTGAGTTCACTGAAAGCTTGTATACCTATGTTACCGGATTCAGACTTGTATTAGGATTGAGATATCATATGGAAAGGGACTGTTTTTGATATTTGTCACAGGATACAAGTCGGCTATCCACTTTTCTTCCAGATGAGTACATTATGGAGAAAATTAGTCTTACTAGATCTTATGGTCATAAAAACTCAAGCAAATAAATGTGAGACAGGTATTGTGTGAGACCTTTGATATTATTGATTCAAGTTTTCAGCCTACAAACACTTGAGCTCAATGTTATCATAAATTTCTCTACAAGAACACAAACTCAGAGAACAACTATGCTGTCAACGAAACTACAATTATGCCTGCAACAACTTCGGAACAGTCTGTATATATGGTAAGCAGAGATGGATAGTGGTTAGCAGTGGGATCCACGACGCGCGTTTCGTCCTATTTGGGACTCGTCAGCTGAATGTACCTGCATCTAAGAGTTGATGTTCACTCTGGAACTCGAACCCAGGGAAGCGGAAAAGAGGGAGACCAAAGAACACATTACGCCGGGAAATAGAAACAGATATGAAAAATATGAATGTTGACTGGAAAGAACTGTGAAGGATTACCCAGGACAGGGTTTGATGGAGAATGCTGGTGTGAAGCCTATGCTCCTCGACGAGGGGTAACAGGCGTAAGTAAGTATTTTATTCTTTGCAATTTCTCTAAGAGATTAGAAGTTTACTACAATTGCTAACATAAAAAGATTTAACATGTTTTTAATCTACTTATATTGAAAGCTTTATTCATCATCATACACAATATGTAATTTTCTAAATATGGAAATGATTTGAAAGAGTTAAAATGTTTGTTTTATGAATTTATTAATAATTTAACGTTTTTTTACACGTACAATTTTCGTTTTCATCCTAAGTAAATTCTACTAGAGCAGGTAGAAGCTATAAAAAAGACATGGGATAAATAACCACTAGATTATATCATAACAATAGAATGAGTTAGTCTCTGATAGATAACGAGAGAGTCAAGGTAAAAGTGACATCAAAAAGAAAAGTGATTGAAAAAAGAGAGAAGAAAAAAGAAAAGGGAGCAATATGTAAAACAACTATTTATATGCACAGGGATAAGTTACATATAGATAAATAAAAAAAATATTCCCCCAGGTATTAAATACCTTAATATAATTGATAAATTTAGGCCCCAGAAAGTTTATGTAAATTTATGTAAATATAAATTATCATTTTTTAAAAATCAAGAAACATAAACATGTAGGATGTATTATCCATCATCACATTTAGTCACAGAATTGAATACAACAATATTACTTATCACCAAGATCCTATGATACATTTTAAATTAAATACATTTGATCTGACAATAGGTAGAAAGGAATTTCGTTTAAAAGTGGAAGAATTCGAACTATGGTTCATATATTATAAGTTTCATTAGATGAGTTCAGATTGACACTTGAATCTAGATAAATTTTCTAGAACATATTGATGTACTACTGAAAGATTAATTAACTACTGGTTCTTATTCACAACAATTAATGTTGAGAACAACGATATTAATGAATTTTACTCCTCTACAAAGTACATATACTTGGTGGTTGAGGCACGGAGTCATGGAATATACATAATGAAATCGCCAATTAATGTTTGTATCCCTAGTTATTGAAAATAATTCAGTCTGTAGTTGATTTTTGAAACGATCCGACTTGATAAATATTAGACATATATATACATATATATATCAAAATAACTGCTGTACCTCTTCTAGGGTTACTGCAGGTCCCAAGCACACAGAAAGGAGGAAGGTTGGATATGGGGTTAACAATCCCATCTTGTAGAAAACGATCTTGCTAAAAGAACGTTAACCAGAATAAACAAATTAAACCATTTAAAATCTATCCTCCAAGTTAAAGGATCTTCATTCAGAAAAGATACGACGCCTCACGGTAAAAGTAGACATTCCACGGGATTCACGAGGCCAATGTTCTTTCTAGAAGCCAGAGCAACAATTAATATGGGTACATTGGATGCCCGGACAATGTGGGAGACCAGTAGGACTAGTCAAATAGCTGCAGAAATGAGAACATGCAACTTAAAAGTTCTCGGAATCAATGAAACCCATTTGACTCAAGCTGGACAGAAAAGGCTAGATACGGTAGGCATGCTGCTGTACTCCGGTCACGAAGAATAAAACGCTCCATACACTTGGGGAGTTGCTCCGATGCTGTCCAAAGAAGCCCAAAATGCACCTATAGGATGGGGATCTCATGGACCCAGGATCGTTAAAGCATACTTTAAAACGAAAAAGGGGGGAATCACAATGACTATTATCTAATGTTATACACCTACCAATGATAGGAATGAAGAGGATAAAGATCAGTTTTATGAGGGGCTGAAGTTGATCATAGGAAAAGTGACTTACCAATTGAAAGACATTATTATCCTACTATATTAGTGTGACTCATGAATTTTATTCATTTTATTAAGACACGCAATACGGTATGTTTGTGCGTTTCACTTAATGACTGTAATTCTTTAATTATTGTACTAATCTGATTGTTTTTATGTTTAGAAACAGATAAAGTTTAAAGCCAAGTTGTCCTTGTTCTGACTATAGCTTTCACATAGACTCTGGGATCGCCAGTATCGCGTTTACAGTTTAATAGTATATCTGTAGGACAAAATAAATCCTACAGCAAATTTCCCAAGAAAAGAACTGACCATTCTAATGGGAGATCTAAACTCCAAATTCAGAATGAACAACACAGAATATGAAGATATAATTGGACGACATGGATGGGAAGAGAGAAACGAAAATGGAGAAAGATTCGCAAGTCTATATGCATTAAACAAATTGGCTTTCGGTGGCACTATGTTCCCGCTCAAACGCATGCACAAAAATACATGGGTTTCGACGGGCCATACCATACAAAACCAGATAAATCATATTTGCATCCCTAAGAGATTCAGAAGTTCAATAGAAGACAAGAGAAACAGGAAAGAAGCTGACATAGCTTCAAATCACCACCTGGTTATGATCAAGATGAAATTGAAGCTAAAGAAACACTGAACAACCGGGGAAACTTAAAAGGTAAGTTATTTTTATTTAACAATTAATTATGACAATCATTTTCATTTCGTGATGATTGTATCTCATCAAGGATTTATTTATTCATCATCAACCTATTGTTCTATTAAAATATGATCACATAAAGACATAAACAAATGAAATAAATAAACAAAGGATATCAAAAGGATTATGTTAACTAAAATTGGAGAAAAAAAAAGATAAGATTTGAATTATTCTATTCAATTAAATATTTATTTATGCCTTTCAAAATATAATTTTATTATTCATACATGTAACTGATAATTGGTATTTAAAACAGAATAGTATACATCTAAATAGTAATACATTATAATTCATCCACATAAAGATTTCAATAGGCCTCAACATACACAAATGAAAAAGCACGACTCTCAAATACAACACGGAGAACAACAAGCCAATCACACTTGATGGCGAAACTCTGGAAGACGTAGAAACATTCACGTATCTGGGAAGCATCATTGATGAACAAGGAGGATCTGATGCAGACGTAACGGCGAGGATTGGCAAAGCAAGGACCGCATTCCTACAATTGAAGAACATAAGGAACTCAGAACAACTTTCAGCTAATTTCAAAGTGAGAATCTTCAATACGAACGTCAAGACAGTCAATTATACTGTACGGAGCTGAAACGTGGAGAACTACTACATCTATCGTCAAAAAGGTACAAGTATTTATAAACAATTGTTTACTTAAGATACTCAATGTCCGTTGGCCGGATACTATCAGCAACAGCGTTTCATGGGAGAGGACAAACCATCTTCTAGCTGAAAAGGAATTTAAGAAAAAACGTTGGAAGTGGATAGGACATACATTGAGGAAATCATCAAACTGCATTACGAGGCAATTCCTAACTTGGAATGGTGAAGGGAAGTAGAAAAGAGGAAGGCCAAAGAACACATTGCGCTGGGAAATAGAAACAGATATGAAAAAGATGAATGTTAACTGAAAAGAACTGGAAAGGATTGACCAGGACAGGGTTTGATGGAGAATGCTAGTGTGCGGCTCGACGAGGGGTAACAGGCGTATGTAAGTAAGTACATAGAGATTTATATCCAAAGATTAAATTTACAAATGATCAATGTACTACTACTAATAATAATAACAATCACAATACTTTATTTCAGATGATTATTATTCCCATTTGAGGCTGATATTAATTTTAAGTTTGTGGAATCTAGATAAAATGTGATAGAAGTTAGTAGAATTTTCAGAAAACAAAATAAAATTTAAGTTTTCTCTTGATTTTAATTGTTTTTTGATAGGTTTATTTATGGCATAAATAAATAAAGTCGTTTTGTGAGTTAGTTGGTAAACATTTCTGTAATTTGGAAACAGTTGTTTACCATAAACTGAGACTAATTCAAAACCAAAAAAAGACTAAACATCTATTTTTCACTAGTCTTTCAACTGTATTCAAGCTAGAGAATTTAACACAAACCACCTTTATAAGTAATACATCATTATGTCGTTAATTATTTTCTCATTATATTACCATATCTAGGGTTTTTATGACCACTTCAAAAAAAACTTGCCCAACTTTCAACATGTTTAACCTTTTTCTCAAATACTCAATAAGTGTAACGTGATGATAAAATGATCTTTAAAGTTCAGAAGATCCTAGAACAGACATTAATACATTTCTATGCTTACATTCCCGTGTTAAACTCAATATGGCATTAAAATCAAGCGAATCATCATTAAGCAGTTTATGTACAAGCGATGTGACAGAACTAATAACAAAATTAAATTCTGATTTACTTAACTTATTGACTCGTTTAGCTACAACAAATCCTAGTGCAGCACGTTGTTTGATGCATTTTCTGTATATCAGCCCAAGTCAGCCATGCTTGTAAGTTACCTTTAAAGAATAATTTGTTTCATTTGTGCTTTAGAAGTACTTGTTAAATAGAATTGTATGTATATATTTGTGTGTAGGGTCTTGATGTTTCTTCCCTTTAAGAAATTTTCACAGGTAAGTAAATTTGTTCCACCCAAAAATAGTTATGATAAACCATCGACACCAATTCTTCCCTTTTTTGTTACTTTCGAGAATAAGAAGTCTTTTGTTTCATATTTTCTTTATGTCACATTACAGGAGAGTTAGATAGATATATATGACAATACTTTTCTACGTAGCTGAAATGAAATTCGAATTAAAACACACTACAATATCTAAGCAAAGATAGATAATGACGAACAGTGGAATTCAGCACGCGCGTTTTGTCCTATTTGGGACTTACCGGCTGGATGTACCTGCATCTCAGAGTTGATGTTCACTCTGGAACTCGAGCTCAGTACCATTCGCTTCAAACACCATCGCGCAATCCACTCTGCTACTGAGTCCTGATAGCCACTTTCTTGTGTAATGGGGTGAAGTTTAAATTCACTAAGTATTGTTTGTTTGAATCTTCCCATTGATGTTTAGGACTGCAACTGGTCAGTCTCGTATTGGTTATATGTGCATACTATGCGTATTACCTCGATATCGTCTATAATATTGCTTATAATACTTGTAAATTAAAGCTATATCGAGGCAATACGCACAGTATGCACCTATGCCAGTTAGAGACTGACCAGTTGCAGTCCTAAACATCAATGAGGAGATTCAAACAAACAATACTTAGTGATTAATTTTTGTTTACCATAATTTAATCCAGGAATAACGTGAAAATTTGAAAAAAAAATTAAATTATCTTCCATCATTAACGAGAGATCTGTATATTAGATTCAGTAGTAAACAACCTAATCCTATTCATTATTTATAAACATTTAGGAAATAATTATAATAACTATTTATTATTTGTATTCAGTAGGCTAGTATAGACATAAACAATAATAGTTTATAAATAAACTAACCCCTTTTTTTATTACAGTTTTTCTAGTGAAATAATAATAACCATAATCATAATAGATGGAAATGTGTGAATATAAAATCATTTTGGTTGTTGTTAAGCTTATCTCGAATTCATATAGATTGCACTTCAAAAAATTAATGTAAACATCCTATACAACAAGAATCTAATTGAAGTATACAATCAAATACATGTATCTTATATATATTTGAATAATTTGGCATTTAAACTAACACTTACAGTGTAGAATGATGACGTACATCATAAACGGTAAATATTATGATATTTTGATAAAAACGTTTTTTAAGTAAATAATGACTTGTAACCTACTAATTTTCATATGCTTCCTTTATAGTGTGAGGCTTGGTCATGAATCAGGAATGAGAAATGTTTTCTATAGAAAGATAAGTTTATTTTCTAAAAGCATTAGAATCAATTATCACTTACAATGAATGATACAAGTTCAAATCACTTCAGGGAACACTGGTTACTTCAAGATTGTAAATATATTTTGTAGCTGAGTGTGAAATGTTTCACTCTTTTTTTTAACTACAAGATAATTGTACATCTATTTGCAAAATATTTCATTTATTTATTATTAGTTTCCCTTAATTTTATGATTGCAGATAACTATCAAAAACTATATACAGTGGACAGCTAGGATGCAGCTGGACGATTTAGATTTCGCAGATGATCTGGCTATTCTATCACACACGCAACAACAAATGCAAGGGAAGACGACCAGTGTAGCAGCAGCCTTAGCGGCAGTGGGTCTCAATATAAATAAAGGGAAAAGCAAGACTCTCCGATACAATACAACATGCATCAATCGAAATACACTTGACGGAGAAGCTTTGTAGGATGTGTAAACCTTTACATATCTGGACAGCAGCATTGATGAACATGGTGGATCTGATACAGATGTGAGGGCGAGGATCGGTAAAGCAAGAGCAGCATATTTACAAATGAAGAACATCTGGAACGCAAAACAATTGTCAACCAACACCAAGATCAGAATTTTCAATACAAATGTCAATACAGTTCTACTGTATGGGGCGGAAACTTGGAGAACTACAAAAGCGATTATCCAGAAGATACAAGTGTTTAGTAACAGTTGTCTACGCAAGATACTTCGGATCCGTTTGCCAGACATTATCACAAACAATCTACTGTAGGAGACAACAGACCAGATTTCAGTGGAGGAAGAAGCGTTGGAAATTGGTAGGACACATTGAGAAAAGCAGCCAACTGCATCACAAAGCAAGTCCTCACATGGAATCCTGAAGACTAAAGGAGAAGAGAAAGACCAGAGAACACATTACGCCGAGTAATAGAGACAGACATGAAAAGAATAAACAAAAAATGGATAGAACTAGAAAGGAAGGCCCAGGACAAAGTGGGTTGGAGAATGCTGGTCGGCGTCCTATGCTCCATTGGGAGTAACAGGCGTAAGTTAGTAAGTAATTAAAAACTGTGAAAAAAGGAAATGCTTTTACTACTTACCAGTTAAGCGTAATAGCAATACAACACTGTTTGAATCAAACAAAGTTACTTGTCTTAACATAATGAATTTTGCAATACCTATCTAAACTGATCTTTATATATGTGTTCAAAGTTTATCTACTTGATCTTAAAATACAGATGAATTTGTTCAATGTTCAATTTATCCCAAATAAAATCAATATACTATACGACGTTTTATTGATCAGGCGATCATTATATATGATCCATGCAAGAATTCATTATTGTGCATCAAAACGTTTATGAAGATTTCAAAGAATGAATCTGATTCTCCTGACCTTAGCTTGAGCAACGTTTTATATCTGTAATGTCTCGATAATAAAATCACATTAAACAAACCTGTACATACTTACTGACTTCTTAACCAATGCTAACTAAGAAAAATGATTTGATACATTCTTTATGATGAAGTTTTGTTCTCTGAGCTGGATGGTTTGATCGTGGAGCTTTCATCGTCCTTCTGAACGAAATCATCAGCACAAAATTTGGGTAGATATATTCGAAAAATTGAATAACACTTCCAGGAAAACTACAATTTGTTTATAGTTCCTTTATTTCTACAAAATAGACTGGTAAAGTTACTCTATTTTTGGTCATATAAGAATCATTAAAAACTATTATGATGTAGACAAGAAAACTGTTGGCTTACTAAAACTTTTACCTTAAAATAGAAGAACTAATTAATTCAAAGTTGATATTTTTTAACAGTCAAATATATTTTTACTTTTTGGTACTGAAACTTTTATTTAAGGAAGAGCCTCCATTAAAGTAACTTTAAAACAGATGGTTGTCATCTATGTGTTATTTATTCATTCATTCATCAATCAATTTTTTTAGATTTTTAAGAGATTAGTTTTTGATTTATATGTAGTGATCATTACAGATTGACCAGTTTTAGAATCAATCAAAAACAGGAAGTACTGAGCAGATGTTTCGTCCCAGTATGTGACCTTTTAGCAATAACCAGATGTCAAGCAGTAACCTTTTCAAAGGTCAACAAAATAAAACAGTTAATTTAGACATAAATACAGTTTGAGATAATGCAACTTACTGGGATGACCAAGTGCAATCAAAGCCACTAGAATAAAATGATATAAAATGCACAGAATAACTAAATCGGTCATTTTTATATCAATTGAATGCTGATGATATTATCCAGAATGAGAAAAATAGCTTCAGATTTTAACTATCTAATTGACAAAACCCAACAATACCAAAAGAGTTCAGATATGTTTAAAACTTTTAGTAATTAACTAATAAAATCATAGTTGGAGGATTGATACACTCAAATAACCTCCCTTACATTGTTGTTATTTCAAAAAAGGATATTGTTTAGAAAATCAAACCTAAATGACATTATCTTCAATCGAATTCTTCTTAATTCGAATTTCCAATGTTTACTTCTTAAACACTTTAATATAACTTGGCAGGAATTTTCACTTTACCTTTATCATAGATTTATATATTTTTAGACTTTTTTTGAAATCCAGGTTTATCACTCACTCAAGATAACCTGTATGCTTTAACAAGAGCCTTCTCACTTTATGTGCATTAATTTTAACATATATAACTTGATAGTTGAATTCAATAGTTAATTAAAGCTAGACCATCATTGAAAATCTGGAAGCACTGGACGGCCGTTTTATCCTAGTGTGCAACTACTCAAAGGGCGCGGTTGTAGATGCGCACTGCTGAGCAGTCCCATATTAGGATAAAACGGTCGTCCAGTGCTTCCAGGCTTTGTGGATATTATAATAATTTTAATAGTTGAGTTATATTATTTGAATAATTCATTGTAATAAGTAGACTATTTGTAAATAAATTAGTAATATATATATTCTCAAAGTTTTCTTAGAATGATACACAAATTTTCGCAGATGAGAATCGATTCAATTAAATTTTAAATTTCTTTTAAGTGTAATTGATCAATAATACATCGATAAACCATCGATATGTAGAACAAAATTCAACCGACAAAACAATTAGCTCCAGTTAAAAAATGAAAATACCAATAAGGTTCAAATCCAATTGACTTTTTTAAGAAAAAGTCTAACATATTTCAAAATAATTGTAATCACAGAATAACTTCGGCTCGTTACCCATCAGAAACTTAGCAAACTTGAATAACTCTGAGTCATATTAGTCAAGGAATAATTAGCAATGGATAATCATGAATTATAATATTTTTATCAATAATCGTTTGATCGATTTATAAAATCGAAACTGAGGAGTCCTGTATATAGTTTATTTATATCATGATTATCAACATAGCTACTCTTAATTATGAGGTTCACAGGATTGCACACTGTTGATTCCTTAATGAATCAAAGTCAATTGATTTAGATTTTATATTGACCTTAAATGCACTTCGAATATAATAAACGCAATCAAATCTACAGTTGTATCGTGAATCGATGTGATTGATAAATATAAACCATTGTGCGAACTATCTGACCTTTGTATACGTAATTTTAACTTCATTAGTAATACTATATATATATATATATATATATATATATATATATATATATA